TTGTGCCACCCCCTTCATGTTTCTCTGTCCCAGTGGACAGCATCTCCTGCGCTGTTTTCACCTTCACTACTCTTTTCTCCTGCAGTCTGATCTGCTGTTGTTCCCATCAACTCCTCATTTCACAGGGTTGGTTTTTCCATCTATAGCAGCAGATCCCTCTGAGTTTTTGTTTTCTGTATTTTCCATTTTTCCTTTAATCCTTACTTTTCTCTGCTCTCTTGCAAGCAGAATAATAACTCTTTAAAACCTTTCCCAAATCCATCTTCTCCCTCACTTCTGAATCTGCTCTTTGATTTTGTTTCCATCCTGATCATGGATCAGGTTATTATTATTATTGCTTGAGTAGATGCTGCACGGTGTAGATTTTTATGTGGGATGCTAGATTTATTGCATTGCCTTACATGGTGTTAGACATTGGTCTTTTGTACACTTAAGTTCCTAGAGAGTCGCTGGATTCGCTCAGAGTTGATCTCCCTCTGGGTGTCTCCAAAGCAACCTCCTGCCCACCTCTGAGGATTCTGTTCCGTGTCCCTTACAGCATACCTCTTTCCACTCCTTCTGCTGGGCTCAGGCGCTATTTGTGGCTGCCGGAAATTCTTCTTCCTCCTCTTCATGTCTAGTGTTTCTTTCCTCAGCTTTGGGCAGTTTCCTCTCACACAGGAAGAGAGCAGTGCTCAGCCAAAGACTTGTGACCCCTAAAGAGCTCCAGTGCCCTTTCTCCCTCTTCTCTGTCCTAGACATTGTCACTGCTATAACCTCCTGACCTTTCTCCCTGACTCCTCAAGAAACAGCGCCCGAAGGTTCTGTTTGGGTGGCAGTGAGGTGAAGCAGCCGTAGACTCCCATGTTTTCCATCTCTGGGGTTCACTGCCCTGCCTCTTGTCCGAAGTCTGAAAAGTATTGTTTTGCAATTTTGTGTGTGTGTGTGTGCGCGCCAAAGAGTACATCTGCCCCCTGTAATTTTATCCTGGCTGGAAGCAGAAGTCTATAGTTTCTCCATTGTCCTTTACCCTTTATTGTGAACCCAATTCAGTTATCTATCCAGTAAATAATAGCTAACTCAGTTTTCAATGAAAGAAATGAATTTTGGATTTTGTGTTTTTAGTCACAGTTGACAAACTAACCTCAAAGTTCTGCATTGTTGGGTATTCCTGCTCCAAAACCAGGTGACACTCTACACAGCGTGGACAGTACCCAGCTGGTGTTCACCAAACAAGTGCCCCATCTGTTTGTTTCTTTTATCATAAAGCATATGTAATCATTATATTATCATGAAGTGAAATTGGTTTTGGAGGTAGGACTGTCTCCTGGCAATTTCAGTCACATAAAAAATTGAACTTTTTTTCTCAAAAGAATAGGATACAAATGAGTGTATATACACAGATAGAAACAAAAACTGGACAGAAAAATGCCGGGGTCAGAGGATCACTATGAAGGAAGTGCATGCGTCCCCCGCAGCTGGCCCCGGGGCCTGGTGGTGAGGTTTCCCTGCACTGTCCAGGTCTCCAGTCTGGCAGCGAAGCCTCCTTTCAGCCTGGGTGCCCTGGATCCGAGCCTGTGATGTCTTTGTCCTTCAGCCAGCTGCGGAAGGAGGAAGAGAAAGAGAGTGAGGAGATGGAGGAGCTGGTAGAGAAGCTGGCGCTCCTGCAAGTGCAGAGAAAGAGCCTGATGGTGCGGAACAAAGCCCTGGAGGTGGAGCTCGGAAGGATGCAGAAGATAAACAGGTTTACACGTTTTTCCCTTGTTTTTTCTCAGTAGTTAAAAAAAGACAACTGAAGAGTAGTTCATTTTCTTTATCTTCTCTTTTTCTAATAGTGACTATAAAATGGTAAGAGTGATAAGGATGAGTGGATATCAGAATATAAGTACAACAAAAGCTTTGCTGTTGCCCAACATTAACCCACATTTCACAAGTCTGTAGTTCAAATACGGTTGGTAGTCATATATGCTGACCCTAAGACTCTGGATGTTCTAGAAGTTCTTTCCTAACCATTTCCCAAATGTCTCTGTTGGGATTACTGGTATCAGTTTACAAAGTTGGTCCCTGGAGTAAATGAAAAAGTTTGAGCCCAGTCCAGAAAATTTAGCAAGAATTTGTCTATTTAGAGAGAGAGAGAGAGAGAGAATAGACTAGGGATGCAGCACAATGCAAAGGCCCTGGGTTCAATTCCCAATACCACCAAAAAACATATTTTTTCTCTCTCAGTGGGGTCTGTCAGGAGGAGGCCTTGGGGAGCATCTCTTCTCACTCTGTCCCTGAAGACGTTTGGAGACTTCCTTCAGAAACTTGTCACAATGGGTTTCCCTCATAAGATGGTATATTAAGCCAAACAGCCTTCAGGGCCTGACTGGCCCCCTAGTTTCTCTACTTTCCATAAAGGCTATTTATAGAGTCTGAACTGTTTCTTCAAACTGCTGCCTATCAGTCCGGTTCTTCAGCTCCACAGGGATCTGGTTCTGGCATTGGTAGCTTCTGCCCTGGTCATAGCCTAGCTGAACAAATCCCTTCTTAGTCAGCAGCACCTGCTGTGGCCCCGTGGTGAACACAGGGGAGGCTGTTACGCCCAGACCCCATCTTTCTCCCTTATGTACACATGTGTGTGGGTGCACACATGTCTGTGTGATATGTGTGTGGATGTGTACGCATATGAGAGTGGGGGAGCGGCACTAGGGATTGAACTCCAAGGCCTTTGCACTGACATATGTCCCCAGCCCTTTTTATTTTTATTTTTTATTTTTAGACCGGGGCTCTCGCTAAATCACTAATTTTCCCAGGCTGGGTTCAAACTTGTGACCCCCCTGCCTTAGCCTCCCAGAGTGGTAGGATTACAGACTTATATCACCACAGAGGGTCACCGACCCCAGATCTTTAAAAAAAAAAAATCATCCTACTGAGGTACTTTTGACTGGGAATATTCTGCAATGCTGTTATGTTTCACTAATAGATGGGCCAATGCTTTGAGAGCCACAGTGCAGGGAATACTTAAGGCAGGGCCCCACCCATCCTGTGGGCAGGCCTGGCTGCTGCCTCTGGATGCTCATCCAGGCAGATGACCCTGCACACCAGCGCTCTACTCAGGACTCTGCCCAGGTGCACAGGCTTGGCCCAGCTAAGAGGGCAAGTGATAAACTCCTCCCTGTCTCTAGGATAGCAAGGGTTTTCATAAGAGATGAGCCTAGAAATCTGTCCTTCTCCCAGGTCAATCTGCCCTGAAGAGCTCCCAAATGACCTTGGACAACCACCTCTGTCCCCTGACCTTTGTTCCCATGCCCACATTGGGGATGCTATGAAATTTACCACAAGGCAAACCTTGGAGAATTGTGGCTAGAGGTAACAGCAAGGGTGCTTGCTTCAGTTTGTGTCACTGCTGGCCTCCTGGAGTCTCTGATAAGGAACATCCTGCCCAGCAGAAGGCCGATCTAAGATAAGAGTCTAGCACTCCTGCTTGGCTGTGGGGTCTGAGCCTGCCTGGTGGGAGGGGAGAGTCTGCTATAACCCCCTGCTCTGAGCCCAGCCTGAGGACCTCTGCTCCCTCCCAGGGAAGCCAAGCCCTCAGGGCCCAGGAGCTGGAGCAGGGCCAGGGATCTGTGGCTTCATGCTTCTGACTCTTGCTGGGCCAGTTTCCCCCAGAGCATGAAATGGATGACATTTTTGTGTCCTTTTCCCACTCTAAGTCCAGGGAACAGGGTCCTGGGCTCCTTGGACAGTCCCACCACCAAACCTGACAGCTCATGGCCAGAGCTGTGGGTGAGGACAGAGCGGAGGCCCATTTGAGGCCTCGTGACATCACCCCACCTTCTGTGGGAGGCCTCACCTACCTCCCCACCTGCTTCTCCTTAGGAAAATTCCTCAGTGGGGAGGAAAACAGCTGTCAAGTTACCTACACATCATTCTGTTGCCTGCCTTGAGTTATAAGTATGACCCATTAAGGTAATGATAGAGTTGGTTCAAAGTTTATCTCCCCTGATTCCCCAAGAAGAAAGCAAGCAGGATTTCTACTCTTTGCAGAGATTTCCTCTTCAGGGACGTAGCTGATCTAGGAGAGTCTGTTTTTAAAAAAGAATTGATGCAGACATAGATAAACAAAAACATTTCTGGAGAGAAACTGGCTTGCTTGACCCTCTCTTTTTGGTGTGGTCGGTCTAAGCTGTATTGCTTAGAAAAAGGAGGTGGGGGAGGTTTAATAATTACCTTTGCTGACCTCTGTACTTTCTGGCTTCCTCCACTCTTGGGCACAAGATATGGCCCTTCCTGGGCTGGTCCATATTCACAGGCAGTCAGCTGGGTTGGCCGCTCCACTTGATCCACAAGGTCAAGGAGAAAGGTAAGCCCGGCTGGGTGATAGGAAGGCCCACTGCTGTCTTGGCTGGGTGGCGGGGCCTGGACAGAGACTGAATTTAGAGTGGTGACATGACCATCTCACACTGGTTTTCCTCAGCAATTGTTTTGTTTTATTCCTTGCATCCCAGAATGAGAAAGTACTGTACCTATACTGCGGATCAGTTGTGCACCAGGGGCCTTAATCTTAAGAAGGAATTATATAAAAAACCATACTTGCCTTGGACTTGATTCTGCTAAGTATATTCCAGTATGTCTTAAGCAACTTTTACCTTTGAAAATAAAGACGCTGGATGATGGAGGCAGGATGAGTTTCAAGCAAGTCACAGCTAAGGATTAGCAGACAGTGACCTGGCATGGAACCTAGGGGGCTGGCAGGCACACCGGCCAGGGGCAAAACAAGCCCCTGAGCTTTGGAAAAGATACAGGAAACTGTTTCCTGCAGCCAGAATAATATGAATGACTGGATTTTCTCCCTGGGGCTGAGCAAATTATCCCCAAGGGACTGCCACCTGCACCCCTCTAAAAGCCAAGCCGACCTTTGATTTGGGCGTCAGTGCCCTCCACTTGGGCACACCAGCCTGGGGCAGCCCTTACCGAGCCCCCCTTTGTATCTTGTCTGCTTTTGCTGAATCAAGATTCAGCCCGTGCTCTCCTTGCAGCCTCCTGGAACTGGTAGGAGGAAAGATGGGGGAGGAGATGAGCCCCAGAAAACGCAAGGAGGATGAGAGGTCGGTCCAGAGTAATGAACCCAAGACCACAAGTCTCCAGAAAGAGGTGAGGCTGTCTGTTTCCCGGTGGGTCCTTCCCAGGCCTGGGCTGGGGTGATCTGAATGAGGGCAGAAGCAGTGGAGGCCTGGCTGCTCCCCTGTGACCCACTGAAGCTCATGGCTTTGTATCTATAAAGTTTGTCTCTAAATGAGCCATTCTCTGGGGCTAACCCTGGCCCTGTCACCGGTGAACTCAGCACACTCTTGAAGGTCCTGTATCATACACGAGCTTCACGTGTGTGCTTCCATCAGCTGGGGAGCGACGGAGGGTCTGGTATGTGCTGAAACCGATGGCTTTCTCAGGGGTGGTCAGAGGGAGCAGTCTTGTGGTGGAGTCCCCTCTTTCCATCCTCGGCAAACGTCTGATCCTCTTTCATGCGACTGTGCTGGAGGTGAGAATGGCAGGGCCTCCAGCGGCAGTGCTCTGTTTTAAGGGTCTCACTGCAAGACTCGGCTGGCAGAGATGGGCCACAGCTGAATGCTCTTAGCTGACATGGTGAGGAGGTAGGGCCGGTTCTGGGTCAGGAAAGAACGGACGGTTAGGGGTAGGGGTGGAGGAGCTGGAGTAGCCAGGTGTAGTGGCTCATGCCTGTAACTGCAGACCTCTGTGGGGCTGAGGCAGGAGGACTGCAAGTTCCAGGCCAGCCTGCGCAACACAGTGACTTAGTGAAACCCTGTCCCAAAGCAAAGGGCCGGGGATTTAGCTCAGTGGTTTCACTGCCTGCCGCACAAGTGCAAGGAGCACAGTTCGATCCCCGGTACCAAAAACGAAAACAAAAACAAAGGGCTGGGGATGTAGCTTAGTGTGAAGGTCCTGCTTTCCATCCCAGGACTGGAAAATAAAAAGGGGGGAAAGAAAAAGAAAAAGGATCTGTGCATGTGTGTGTGTGTGAGAGAGACAACGTGGCCCTTAACCTGGAATATCTATTGCTGTGTGTCCCCCCACACTGTCCTTGACCCTCACATGGATTTAATGGGACTGTTCTTACCTGAGTAGATCTTAGAAAGTTCACGCCCTACAGGATATTATGACAGAGAAGTTCCAGGCCCTCCCTGGGAGGCGTCTCTTGCTCATGTGGCTCCTCTGGCCAGGACTTCAGGTCCTGATCCTGGTTTCCTTGGTGACAAGTTCCTTCTACTCAGCCCAGAGAAGAGGGTCCTCCCAAGGGCCTCTATTGTGGAGGGGACCAGGGGTGGTGGCCAGGAGCTTGGAACCTGGTCCTGGCTGTGTAACTCAGGTCTCAAGCAGCCCTGCTGTGCTCTTTTCTCTATGATGAAATGGGTATGGTACGGTGTACTGAACTCATGGGGCTGTTTTAGGAATTTGTTTTTTGGGCGTGGGGTGGGGAATGAACCCAGGGTCTTCACACTGAGCTACATCCCTATGCCTTTCTAAGTATTTTTGAGACAGGATATGGCTAAGTTGCTAAATTGCCCAGACCAGACTGAGCTCAAATTTAAGATGTTCCTGCCTCAGCCTGGAATTACAGGTGTCCACCTCCACATTCAGCAGATTGACCAATTCAACGCACACAGAGCCCCAGTAACAGCGTCCTGGTGGAATCACAGCACCTCAGGGCGGACACGCCTGGAACATGGGGTCCACTTTGAGTTGGCCAGACCCAGGGGTTGGGGGTTGCCTCTGACCCTGTGAGCCCCGGGGTGACAGCATTAACTCCTCTTCCTTCCTCCACGTGCCGTCCCAGGTGGGCCTGTTCAGTGGCATCTGCATCATCGTGGGCACCATCATCGGCTCTGGGATCTTCATTTCCCCCAAGTCTGTGCTCAGCAACACAGGAACCGTGGGGCCCTGTCTCATCATATGGGCAGCCTGTGGAGTCCTCGCCACACTGGGTAACAAAGACTCCGCCTCCTGCCTCCTCCCCGTGGAAAGCAGGGCCAAGTCACATAAGCATTGTCCTTGCTGCTGCTGGGACCCCAGCCCATTTTTAATTTCAAGACAAGGTTTCAGTAAGTTGCTAAGTCTCCCAGACTAGGCTCAAACTTGCAATCTTCCTGCCTCTGCCTCCCAGAGTGCTGGGATTACAGGCCTGCACCACCACACTCGGCTTGGTCCCCTTTCAGTGACTGGGAGGAAAGAAGGGTAAATGGGGCTGGAGCTAAATGTCCAGTGACCCGCAAGACTCAGCCCCCAGGGAAGGGCCCCAGACAGGATAACATCTTACGAGCGGCTGGGTGGGGCCCTACCTGTCTGTTCCAGGTGCTCTGTGCTTTGCAGAGCTTGGCACCATGATCACCAAGTCAGGGGGTGAGTACCCGTACCTGATGCAGGCCTTTGGGCCCATCCCTGCCTACCTCTTCTCCTGGACCAGCATGGTGGTCATGAAGCCCTCATCCTTCGCCATCATCTGCCTCAGCTTTTCGGAGTACGTGTGTGCAGCCTTCTACTTGGGCTGCCAACCTCCCGAAGTGGTCATTAAATGCCTTGCCGCCGCCGCCATCCGTGAGTGCCCAAGCCTGTCACCCTGCGGAGGGGGCAGAGGTAGCTTGGCAGAGGCCGGGGCTGCGGCCGGGGCTGCTGGCCTCAGATCCTCTGTGCCCACTGAGAAAGAGGCCTCGTGGGGCTGGGGTCTCTGGAGCAGCGGGGCTGGCGGCCACCCCTGGGTGCTGAGCCACACCCAGGCCTGTCAGGGCTGCAGGGAGGGCCACTGCGGGCTGTCCCTGTCACCGGGCAGTGCCCTCCACTCAGGGCCTGGCTGCTGCCTCTGCTTCACCCTCTGAGGCAGCGGCTTGATTGCAAGGCCACCGCCAGGGGCATTGTAAAGGTCTTTCCACCCCCTCCTTTGGATCTGTGCTCTGTGCCCTGGGCCACAGTGTGGAGGGATGGAACAGGGACAGCAGGGACACAGGGAAACCTGAACAGAAGGTGTCACCCGCCCCCACTCCCCAGTGGTCATCACCACAGTGAACGCTCTGAGTGTGCGGCTGGGGAGCTACGTCCAGAACGTCTTCACTGCGGCCAAGATGGTGATTGTGGTCATCATCATCGTCAGCGGCCTGGTCCTCCTGGCCCAAGGTGACCGTAGCAGGAGGGGGAGTGCGGGTGCCGCCCTGCTCATACCTCCTTTCCGTCTGAGGGCTCGTGTCCCTAGCCTGTGTCTGACCTTGGCGGGGACTGGGCAGCAAGACTCAGCTGCTTGCTTCTCAGTGTGTGTCCTGCCCTAGCCCTCAGGAGAGCAGTGCAGCGTCAAAATCAGTCACCGTCTGCCTTAATTACAGGAAACACAACAAATTTTGAGAACGCCTTTGTGGGTACACCAGCATCTGTGGGCGGCATCAGCCTGGCGTTTTACAATGGACTCTGGGCGTACGATGGATGGTGAGGGGGACCCTGAGGTGTTGCAAGACTGCGCATAGGCTTCTATAGGCAACTCTGATTTCACTTGTCCAGCAAAGTAAAGGCATCTCCTTTCTAGGAAAAATTCCTCACACACACTCCCCATTCTTTTCTAGTCCTGGGGGCTGAACCCAGGACAGTTCTTCTGAATTTTTTATTTTGAGACAGGGTCTAAGTTGATAAATTGCCCTGAATGGACTTGAGCTTGTGATCCTCCTGTCTCAGCTTCCCACGGTGCTGGGACTGTGAGCGTGCACCATCATGCCAGGCTCTGGGCCCTGTCCGCTCCGTTTTCCTGGGACCCCACAGACACCGAGACATCTGCTCTTCTCCCTGGATGTGGCACTGGCCCGACCACGCCCAGTGAGCAGTCAGTGCTGAGGCCCTGAACGAAATTCTCACCGGGCAACACTGGCTCAGCTGAATTAGAGGCAGCCAGCGAGGCCGAGCCCTTGTCTCAGCCAGGAATATTCAGGGGACGGCAGGCACTTCTGTTCAGACCTGGAGGTCGCTGGTTCTTTGCTCAGGTCCTTGAGGGAGAAGCATGAGCATCCTGATGCTGGGCTTTCTCTCCTTCACCTTTTGATTTCATCCCCTTTTCCAAAAGCCCCCACTTTGTTAGAGGACCTGGTGACACACTGCTACTGACATGCACTTCTTTCTGACACTCTTTCTCCTTCCTTCCCTCTTTGTCTTTCTCCTCCTCTTCCAACCTGCCTTCCTGTTTTGCGGTAGTGGGGACTGAACATAGGGCCTTCAACTGAGCTACATCCTGAGCCCTTTCTAAAGTTTTCTTGGTTTGAGATGGGTCTTTCTAAGGCCCTAAGTTCCCCAAGCTGGGCTCAACCTTGCAATCCTCCTCCTTCAGCCTCCCAGAGTGCTGGCATTACAGGTGTGTGCCACCATGCCCAGCAGTGGGAAATCTAAAATGAGGCCAACATTTATTATTGCATGTTTCCCATTCTTAGTCAAGAAATCCAAGTCACATGTCACCCTTGTTCCTTTTCTTTTCCCAGGAATCAACTCAATTACATCACAGAAGAACTCAGAAATCCTTACAGGTAAGAAAGCTGAGCCAGGCAGGAGACAACAGATCCAAAGCATATTTCACTTCTCCCAGGCAAAAGTAGAGCTGCTGCCTCCTATTATTCCATGATTCCATTCCAGGCAGTGAAGTTTTTGTCCTTCCAACCCAGGGCCTCGTGTATGCAAGGCAAGCGCTCTGCCATGGGAGAGAATGGCTCCTTCTAAGCTCGTCATCCACTCTTAGGGTTTGGCTGTGTTTGGGGCAGTGGAATGGTCTCTAAGGGGAAGGAGGAACTCCAACTTCCTTTATCTTCACGTTACTTTCTTTTAAACAATTTGATTCTACTGTCTTAGTGCCCGAGAGGGAAACTTCTCCTTGGAAAATCTCTCTTGCTCCAGCTGGGCTCTGCCATATCGCAGACCCCGCCTAAGTGGCCTGAGGAAGGGCATCTGTGGCCTGGGTCATCACACTGAGAAAGGGATGTGTGGCAGGGAGGGGAAAGGATGGGATGAAAAGCACACGGGACCCTCTGGTCTGACCCCAGGTTCCCTGTCACCCTCTCTCTCAGAAACCTGCCCCTGGCTATTATCATCGGGATCCCTCTGGTGACAGTGTGCTACATTCTCATGAACATCTCCTACTTCACCGTGATGACCCCAACGGAACTCCTGCAGTCCCCAGCAGTGGCCGTGGTGAGCGTGGAGGGGCCGTGGCCTGCGGGAGGAGGCAAGGGGAGAGTTGGAGAGGGGACGGATCCGGGGAGCTGACGTGAGAGGACTGGGCCTAGGGCAGCTGGGCAGGGGTGGTGGGCTCTTCCTCTCCAGCCCCAGCCCGGGCCCCAGCTGCCTGGGTGCAGGCACAGTGTCTGGCTAGAGGGGGGCTCCAGGAACCAGGGCTGGGGGCTGGCAGGAGGAAGGAGAGGAGGAAAGTGCAAGGAGTGAATTCACATACTGAGGTGTGGATCTAAGCCAAGTGAGGAGGGAAGGCAGACCAGGCAAGCTGGGCAGAGGGGCGCACGCCTATCATCCCAGCTACTTGGCAGGCTGAGGCAGGGGACCACAAGTTCGAGCTCAGCCTGGGCACCTCATGGAGCCCTTATCCCAAAATAACAATAAAAGGGCTGGGTACGTAGCTCAGAGGTAGAGAACCCCTGGATTCAAGTACCCGTGCCAACACACACCCACATAACCTCCCCCCGCCACACACACAAAGGATCACAAGTTTGAGCCCAGCCTAGGCAACTCTTAGTGACTTAGAGAAACCCTATTTCAAAATTTAAAAAAAATTTAAAAGGTCTTCAGATGTAGCTCAGAGAAACTGTTCTAGGTTCAATTCCACTAAAGCAAAAAACAAAAACACACACACAAAAAGGAAAAAAAGGTATTGGGCCCCAAGGACTAGAAAATATGCATGGATTCCACATGCTGGAGGCCTGGTGGAGTTGGGATAGGTCAGAAAATGAGTTAGACAAAGACAGGACATGGTGGGGGCTTAGCAGGAGCAGGACTTGCAGTTTGGTTAATGTCCAGGCCACCAATCACCAGCCTGGGCAGCTAAGGGGAAGGAGAACAAGGTCATTCCGAGCTCAGGTGCTGGCAGGATTGTTCAATACCCAAGAATGAAGCCCAGAAGTGGTGGCTTTGAAGGTTCCTGTCAGCACCAAAAGATCCTAAGCATGCAGAGTGGTGGCACAGGCCTGTATCCCAGCACTCTGCAAGGCTGAGGCCTGAGGAACAAAAGTTCCAGCCCAGCCTGAGCAACTTAGCAAGACACTGTCTCAAAATACAGAATAAAAAAAGGACTGAGGATATAGCTCAGTGTGAAGGCCCTGGGTTCTATCCCCAGTGCTGCCATCGATTGTCCATCAATATAAAATCCTAAGACCCTGAAGAGTTTTTCCACTCTCTGTTCTCCAGCAGGGGCCCCCAGAGGCTGCGCCCAAGGAGGCGGGGTCGGAACCTGGGTTCTCTGGGAGGGCTGAGGAGCTTTTTCGGACCAATGGCTCTTGGAGGTTATAGAAGATCCTCAGGATTCGTTTCCTTGTCCCGCCAGACCTTTGGTGACCGCGTTCTCTATCCAGCCTCTTGGGTCGTCCCACTGTTTGTGGCGTTTTCCACCCTTGGAGCTGCTAACGGGTGCTGTTTTACTGCGGGCAGGTAGGGGACCCCAAAGTCACTCTGTCCCAGGGTGGGCAGGAGGTGGCAAAGCTGATGTCACGGTGAGGAGGCCCTCAGTCCCTGGAACTGCGCCTGATCAAGGGCCTCACGGCCCAACTCGGAGTCCCAGAGTCTAGAGAACATATGTAGCCCTGACTCAAAAGGCAGACTGGCAAGGGAAGCGAGAACAAGGCTCCCCGCAACCTCAGCGCAGCCACTGTGGCAGAGCCAAGCTTGCTAACTATGGGGGAAACAGTGCTCAGCACAGGGCAGAGGGAGGCAACAGGGGCGAAATGAGCTTTGGTTTCTGCATGGCACCTTTCAAGCTGCATTGCTTTACCTACTGCGATTCCCAAACATCTTCTCAGGTTACTACATATACAGACTGGACCAGACTTTCCCTTAAACGGTCAAAGTTTAATACTCTAGGCTGTAGGTATGAAGGTGTCTATTATAAATCCTCAATTCTGCAGCACAAAAAAATAAAACAGCTAGCTAGGCATGGTGCTGTAACCCCAGCAGCACCCTGGGAGACTGAGACAGGAAAATCCCAAGTTGGAGCACAGCCTGGGCAATTTAGTGACTTACCAAGACCTTGTCTCAAAAACAAAAAAAGGTGGGGATGTAGTTCAGTGTGGCCCTGGAGTCAATACTCCAGTACTAAAAACAAACCAGCCAGGTGTGGTTCTGCTTCTGTAAAATATTACATCAACAGGTGTACTACAATTCATCCATTCATTTGGATTATTTCCAGTCTGGGCTGTTATGCATAGCTCTACTTTGGACCTTCCTCTGTGTGTTTTTGCATGGAGACATGTTTTCTTTTCTCTCGAAATTTCTGGGGATAGAATTACTAGGCCATATAGTAACTTCATGATTAACTTTTCTTTTTGGTGAAAAGAAACTCGACATTTATTTATAGTTGTGGAGCCCGTATCCCAGCTGAATTAAATTTTTACTCAACTAATCATATGAGAGAAAAAAAAATCCACTTTTATTTATGTTAAAGTACCAATATGGTGGGCTGAGGGAATAGTTTAGTAGTAGAGCATGTGCCTAGCATGTGCAAGGGCTGGGGATTCATCTACATTAGTAAAATATTTAAAAATCTGCCCATCTAAAAATTAGGTTAATCATTATAGAATTGTAAGAGTTCATGTACTTTGCATACAAATCCTTTATCAGATATGATTTGCCCATATTTTCTTCTAGTCTGCAGCTTGTCTTTTTATAATGCTGATTTATTCATTGGTGCATATTATTCACACAGAATGAGATTGTTTACGGTGTGTTCATACAGGCATGGATCATATTTTGATTATTTTCATCAATATTTATTTTTTATTCTTTTCTTCCCCTTTATTCTCTTTTCTTCCCCTCCATCCCCTTCCCCTCCTGCATCTCCAGAAGACCTTATAGTTTGTCCTCTCTCTTCTTTATGGCTGAAATAGACACAAACACACAAGCATACATCTCACACTTCATTGTAATAGTGTTTTTGATGTAAATGTTTCTAAGTTTGACAAAGTCCAGCTTATCATTTTGGGGGGGGGGTCCGGGGATCGAACTGGGGTCCTTGCGCTTGTGCAGCAGGTGGTGAAACCACTGAGCTAAATTCCTGGCCCCAGCTTATCACTTTTTACATGACATATTTTTACTGTCTTTGCTTAATACAAATTCACAAAGATTTTCTTCTTCGAAGTTTTATATGTTTAGCCCTTCCATTCAGATGCACAATTCAGGTAATGGGAAGGGGGGTGGTTGAGACAGGGTCTCACTATGTAGCCTAAGCTGGCCTCAAACACATGGTGACCCTCAGGCCTCAACCTTTGGAGTGCTGGGATTACAGGTGTGCACCTCTGTGCCCCAATAACTTGAACTAATTTTTTACAGTTTCACAAATGTGCAGTTTGGGGGCTGCCCAGGGACTTGTGCTATATTATAGTTGTCCTTCCACATCTATAGTTTCTGCATCTATGGATTCAACCAATAGCACAGCAAAAATATTCAGAAAAAAATTGTATCTGTAGTGAACACGTGCAGATTGTCATTATTCAATAAACAATGCAGTGTAACTTACATAGCATTTACACTCCATTAGGGATCAGATTAAGGGACATGGGAGGGTGTGCATAGGTTATATGCAAATAATACATCACTTGATGGAAGGGGCTTGAATATCTGAGCAATCTGGTATCTGCAGGGACCCGTGAACCAACCCCGGAAGAAATGGAAGGATGACTATCACTTTTTCCCTGATATGGGGTTTCACCTGACATGTTGCCCAGGATGGTCATGAACTCCTGGGTTTGAGCGATCCTCCTGTCTCGGCCTGTCCAATAGTTGAGGCTATAGGCATGCACCACTGCATTCTGCTCTATATAATTTTTCTAGAATAAAATATAAAGTTTTCTTTTAATGGATTCTGAATTTCTCACATTGACATATCTTCCTCCCTCCTTTTAAAATTATAGAGATTCCTGTGTTTAATTTCTAGCATAACTTTAGCTCTTTGATCAATGTGGAATGTACATTGACATTAGGCCCAAGTCATTTTTTCTAAACCTTTATCTGTTGTCACAATATTGTTTACTGCACAGTCTACCATTTATGTCCCCTACTGGGTAGAAATGCCATCATTGTCACTGTTTCTGGTTCATTTGGTGTCACTGAATTTTTCTGTGCTGTTATATTTATGGAAAATTTTACTTGTGGTGACATAAAATCTGGCAGGACTTAGCACTCCCAACTTAGACTGTTTGCCTATTTGGCATTCCAGATGCACTTGTAACGATTTTATCCAGTTGCATTTGAAAAATCTGTATTGTTATTGGTGCATGTCTGCAGGACATGATCACATTCCTCATGTGGAGCTGGTACATGCATACATCTTCATTCAGTTTTAATCCCCTTCCTCCATTTCTTGGTCTCCCTCCCACTTGCAAGAGATTTGTCTATTTCCTACTATCTTTTATTTTGCTCATTAATATTTTGGGTTTCTCGTATAAGAGAAACCAAACCATGTGATATTTAAGCTTGTACGTCTAATTTATTTCACTTAATATTATGGTCTCAAGGTGCATCTATTTTCCTACAAATGACTCCAGTTTATCTTTAGGGCAGAGTAATATGCCACTTTGTGTTAACACATTTTCTTTATCCAGCTGCACTATTATGGCTTGGAGTTTACATATTAATTTGTGGAGAACTGATGAAATGTAGATTGAGTTTACAGTAGCATCTTGAGTCTCTCTTCTGTCAATTCACTTCCTGTTTCCACTACTTCTTTCTGGGACTCTATATCATGTTTACATCATTTCAAACTTCAAATATGTAGTTTTATGTAGATGGGTCTTTTGGTCATTGTGGGGTTTTTTTTCTGCAGTAGTCCTGGAGATTGAACCTGGGACCTCTACTGAGTTACATTCCCAGCCCTTTTTGGAACAAGGCCACACTAAGTCACTAAACTGCTTAGGCTGAGTTCCAAATTGTGATCTTCCTGCCTCATTCTCTCAGAGTGCTGGGATTACAGGCATGCACCACCATACCCAGATTGGCCTGTGTATTCCTAACACTAAATTGTATGGCAGTGGAGCCAGATTATGTGGTCTCTAGGACATCAATTCAGAGGTTTTAAAATTTACTTCCTGAGAATTTTATTTCTCATGATACTGAGGATAATGTGCTCATGTAACGGTTTCTAGATTTTAAAATCATCAAGGCTGTAACTTGTACCATTTAACTCTTCCACTTTAATAACAAATTTGCCAAATTTTACCTTCTGTTTCAAGGACTCCTTTTGGTTTCTTTTTTCTGGTACTAAGGTTTGAATGCAGAGCCTTGTGCATATTATGCAAATGCTTTATCACTCAGCCACACCCCAAGTCCTTTTTGAGACAGTATCTTGCTATATTGCCCAGGCTGGCCCTGAACTTGCCCATTCTTCTGCCTTTGTCTCCCAATTAGCTGGGATCACAGGCATGCACCACCACATCTAACCTCAAGGGCTCCTGATCTCTGTATCATCCCTTTTCTGCCTTCTTGGTGGACTATTTCTTTCTTCATTAGGAACTCTGTTTAAAGCCTTAAACTATCTTGTCTGGTAATACTACCTCAGCTATAGTTAAGCTATTTTCGGTAATGTCCGGTGTCTTTTATCATCAGCTTTCAGTGTCACTGAGCTCAGCCTGTATGTTTGAACAAATCCAACCTGAGAGTTTCTAGCAAACTTAAAATGTGTTTATATTTAATGTGATTAATGATAGAGCTGGATGAATTTCTCACATATCACCTTGCATCTCCTGGGCTTAAAATGATCTTATACTAAGTTGTTATATTTTTTGTCTTTATTCCATTTTTCTCCTGGTGTGGAAATTATCTATCTGTTCATTTAATGATTGCCCTAAAGTTGACCATGAATGTGTAATAGGATATTAGTGTTTCAAATCTCATGAACCCATGCCTCCAAAAAATGTTTATTACAAAAAACCAAAACAAAACCTAACCTCATACTTGAATACCAACATATTTTACTGTGTTTTCCTTAACCTTCTTTCTTAAAATCAATTCTTCCCCCAAGTTCAATTTTTTTTCTATAGTGGACACTTTTAAGGAATGGAGAGTAAATGTCTCATAGCTCACCTAAAACTGTACTTACTTTCCCAGTAGTCTTGACTGCTAGTTTAATGATGTAAATTCGTCTGAAACTCCCTCATCACTTTGAGAATGTTATTTCTCATAAAATGTCTGCTGTCGTTCTCCTCGTCCTAATTCTGTAAACTCTTAAATTCAGTAGCCTTTCAGATTTTTTTCCCCTCCCATTATATTGCTTATAGCTGAGTATGTTTTTTCTTGTGTAGAATGGGGTAGTTTGAGGCTCACAATGTTTTTCAATTTTGGGAAAGTTCTCTGCTGTCTGTGCTGTTCCCTGATGTCTGGGCTTCTTTGTGTCTTCTCTCACCTTCCCATCTACATTTCCATCTCTCCAGGCTTCATGCTGCGCTCTACCCTCCAACTTACTGTTTCACTTCTAATTAAATTTCTAATTAGAGTAACTTTTTCTTTAGAAATCCTATTTAGCTTTTTTCCCCCTTATATATTTTAAACATAGTCTTTCATATAACTAAATTGTCAAGACTTTTGAGGGGAAGTGCCAACTTACGTTTGCTAATTCATCCTCCATGTGATGTATTTTATATATTTCAGACAGGGTCTTGCTCTGTAGTTCAGGTTGGCCTTGAACTATGTAGCCCCGGCCATCCTCCTCCTACCTTTGCTGCCCAAGTGCAGGGATTACAAGTGTGCACACAATCTCCATCTGTCCCCGCCTTGGTGACTCTGCTGTGCCAAGATGCACTTAGGCTCCTCACCCTTTCAAAACTTACATCCCTCCAGGGGACAGAGTCACCCAAAGAAGGCCAGTCACCACTCAACTGTCTTCTCTGTGACACTGGTAAAACTCAGCACACACTTCCTCGGCACCTCCGTGTGATTTCTTCTTTCAGACTCATTTACGTCGCAGGCCGAGAAGGGCACATGCTAAAGGTGCTTTCTTACATCAGTGTCAGGCGCCTCACGCCCGCCCCTGCCATCATCTTCCATGTAAGTATGAAGTGCAGCACAATACCTGTCCTCATGCAGAGAGCCCTCAGTTCCGGAATGAAACAGACCTCCTTTGCTAACACTTCTCCCAGTGGTTTTCAAAGTGTTACCAGGTGTTGTAACCAGTGGTCCTGTCCAGGCTCGTATTATCCTCCTCAAAGAACTGGACGGAACAAAGAACACAAATGTTTAACATTGATTGAAGGTAGGATCAAAGGTAGGAAAAGAAGGAAAGAGAAGTGCGCTCTGCAGAGCGAGGGTGGGCCAGTTCATGTAGGAAAAGTAAGCTGAGCAGAGTGGAGGGTAGAGGGTGAGAACACTCAGAGTCGCCACGAGATTAATGGCCACTGTCTTTTATACCCACTGCGGATAGCAGGGCCATCCCATGAAGGGCTCTGCACATGCATCCAGGCCTTGACAGACAGCTCTCTGTGACTGACGGGTCACACCTGATTGTCCAGGCTCATATCCATGCCCTAATCCCTTACCTCAAAAGGATCCAGGTTCCCTTATTCCTTGACATGAAAAAAAATTCCCAGGATAATTCAACTTATCTCATTTCTGTTCCTGTTTCGGAATGTACCCACCAAAGATACTGTTTGAATCCCCCAAACTGGCACCATGCTACTTTTCATGTATGTTCATTTGTTTGTTCTGGGCGCCTGGTAACAAGGTAAATGGAAGCCCTCTAGCACATGGGAAGGAGAACAAGGCACTTTACAAGGTGCTGCTAACCGCAGTCTCTCATTACGGTCTACTAACTTGCTTGTCCTGAGAGCCTCTGCATCTCTAATGGGAGATTCTCACTGGTAGATCGTCTAGGTCAGGTGCAACAGTTCTGGGCACACAGACACCTTCCACATTCCTAGCTCAGGCCAGTCCACCGCCTGCCAGCTCCAGAGGAGAACAGGTCTCTCTTCCACCTGCACACTCTGAAGATGGGGAACCTCAGCCAGAGAACAGGGACACAAGTCAAGGCCCAGGTGACTAACGCAGTCAAGATCAGACCCGGGTTTCCTGGTCTAGGGCTCTTGCCCATGATGAAGACTCCTGGAAGTTAAATCCATCATCATGAAGCTGGTACAAAATATATACAGAGTTTATCTATTTTTTCCTTGCTTAAAGTCATAACTTCAAAGACTCAAAAATTATTCAAGTTCTTCCTTCCAGGCTTCAGAGAGAACAGTTATCATAGCCAAGGTCACATTCAAACCAACTGCAATGGGATACATGGGAAGTTTCTTTCATGCTGATCTGTTTATCCAGAGGAAAAACTGCTTCTTCAGACTTCTATGAGGTGATAAGAGTAATGTTTTTATGCACTAATGACTTGGGAATTTGTTCTTCTTTCTATCAGGGCCTAATAGCAATGATTTATATCATCCCTGGTGACATAAACACCTTGGTCAATTATTTCAGTTTTGCTACATGGTTATTTTATGGGATGACGATTATAGGACTTGTTGTGATGAGGTTTACGAAGAAAAACCAGGAAAGGCCTATCAAGGTAAGTGTCATACCCAAATGTCACAAGCAGCTCTGGTGACTAGACTGAAGAAAAGCTTGTTTCTTCCTACCTGACTCTACTCTGTTCTTGAGTATCGTCCTTTAGACAGGAGTTTATTCTGCACTTCATATAATAGCTTATGATCTAATTAACCACATAGTCATTCATTTTACTTGGCTATCATTTTACTAAGCTATCAGGGATAGCTGTGACACTTTCCATACACTGCTGGGGTCTTCTGAACCCTGGCCCTTGGCCCCTTCCTGTCCAAATTCACAACATACTTTTAGCTCCTTCCCACTCCCTGAAAGGCTGCAAAGATCTGTGTACCAATGAAGATGAAGCAGAATTTATTTGGTTTTTCTATGTTAAGGACTGAAAAAAACACAAACCACCGTGCTATTTAATTCTTAGGGTAACAGACCACAGATAGAAGAAAAAAATAGGCAAATGAACAGGACAAGAATAAGGATACTGTCTTTCAATTTAGGACACTCAGGGACCTTGCACTGAGCTACATCCTCAGTCCTTTTTTTAAGTATTATGAGACAGGGTCTCACTAAGTTCTAAATGTCCCAGGCTGGGCTCGGGCTTGTGATCCTCCTGCCTCAGCCTCCCAGAGTATTGGAATTATGGGTATGTACCACGAGACCTGGCTTAGCTTTAGGCCTTTGTTTCAGAAATCTAATGGTCTACCTTGCATTGTCTCTGGACCTCCATCATGTCTCTGGAGACATGGGGCAACTCTCCCAGGAGGCAAGACTGTGGTGGCAGTATAGGTTTTTAATTTGCACAAAATCCCCCATAAACCCAGGCAGAATCACTAGGAAAGCAAAGAGAAAAACTGACAGCCAACATCTTCAACACAAAACAAGGAAATGAGGTATTGCCACAAACCCCAGACTGCATGGAAGTGCCACAAGCCACAACGGAAGGTCCACTGGTGGGGTTCCCAGAAGGAGACATGAGCCCCCACCAGCTGAAGGAAGAAGCAGGGCTAGCTCAGTCCTCAAGGATCCTGCAAGTTCCCACAAAAGCTCCTTTCTGGTATGGAAACATTTCCAGAACCACGAGATTATAATAAATGCTGGGCACAGAAACCACACCAAACATGGCAAGCACATCGGGGCCCAGCAAGTGGAGCCTGGGGACATGCATCTCCCCACTGGGGAGGGGGCCGCACAGGGAGGCCATGTCACGTTCACAACATTTCAGGAAACAAAATCATTTCAGAAGAGTAAGCAAAAAGGAACATGAGCAAAGAAGCATTCCAGGAAAGGATTGGAACGTGCAAACAGAAACAAAAGGGATTTGAGAGGAAATGAGTAAAGGAGACAGCAAAAACGTGGTTGTAATACATGTAAAGTTGGAGTCCCTGAAGAAGAAGAGAATGAAATAAATTCTAGAGAATTTTAAAAATTGTAATTCAATAACTATTTTCTGAGGTAGAAGGAATGACTGGAGGGAGGACTCTACCATCCCACCAACACAGTGAAAGGCATGCAATACAACTGGCAAATAGGCAACAAAAATATAGTCTGACAGAATTGTGAATCCATTCCTCCTTTTTTGTTCCTTATTCTAATTTCTAACTCTTTTTTGTTCCTAATTCCACCACTAATTCACTTACAAAGGAAAAAAAGAACTTTAGCATCAGACCTTTTGTTATCAATATTTCATGCCAGAAGACAGGGGAGCAATATATTTTAGATATTCAAAGAAAGAAAATATAAGTCAATAGTTTTATATCCAGCCAAACTGACCTTGTATGATACAGTTACCAGAATGAAAGGACTCAAGATGCATATTATTATATGTGCTCTTCCCAAGTAATTTCCTGGAGAATGAACTTCAGAAACAATGAAGTCATTAGCATAAGATGAGTATTTCACTACAGAGATAAGAGTAAATGATGGGATATAAAAGTGGCAGAATGGTGTGCTAATATTACACAACAAAAATGGAAAAAGGATATGACAAGTATGTGCCAATCTAGGAAAGTAGACCAAATAAACTCTCAATTGAGGATACCAACCTGCGCTTGATAGCCCATGCCTGTAATCCTAGCACTCTGGGAGCCATAGACTGGAGGATTTCAAGTTCAACCCCAGCCTGAGCAATTTAGTGAGACTCTGTCTCAAAAAATAAAGGGCTGGGATGTAGCTCAGTGTGAAGGCCCTAGGTTCAATAGTAACACACACACACACACACACAACCAGTTTAATTCCTAACACACTATGGTGTTAGCTTATGTTATTTATATATATTCACTGTGTTTTAGCTACAGTTGAGAATACTGGTTGGGAAGCTGAGGTTTCAAATAATGCATGATTTTTTCTCCATTTAAAATAAGAGAAATAGATTCCTAGGAGTGTTTTTCCACAGAATGTCACTTTTTGAGGGCACAAGACTGACAGTAAGGAGACATTTATGTGTAGAAATCTAACATAAAACAACATGAGAGAATGGAGACCAAACTTATCAACTATATGAATAAACTGATTTATCTGGCTTAAATCAGCCATTACAAGCAAAAGATTATCCAGGCAGATCTACAAAGCTTGCAAAATTAAAAACAAAGGACACGCAAAGATTCATCAGTAAGTGAAAAAACAGAAAACAGTACTAGACCAGCATCCAGGCCCAAAGCACAACTTCTAAAGACAAAGTAAGGTGAAAACTAAAGTTCACAGGGAAGAGAGAAGTTATGAAACCTCTACATCATACCACACAGCAACCATATTTACAAAGCAGAAACTACACACAAGGAGAAACACATACACTAACCGCAGCTGGCTTGAAAACGCCTCCTCCAACACCCCTGTGTAAAACTGACTGAAGATCTATGAACTATCACAGGGCAGATCTTAGAGATTTCCGTCATGGTCTGCCCGACATCAGCAGACACACTTCAGGTGCACCGAGGATGTGTTTGGAAACTGACAATCCTTTGTGGCAAAAAGAAAACCCTGGTACTTAAAGAAAAATTATAAATTACATTCTCTACAGTGGAATGAAAGAGAATAATATAAAAAATACATGTTTGGGTCCCATTAGAAATAGGAAATTAAAGCATATAAATTTCTAAAAATTAATAAAAACAAGACATATATTCTAAGAACATAAGCTTTGACATTTCCTTAAAGGTTTATATTAATGAAAATGAAATAGAAAACAGGCAATTCAAAAAGCGAGAGAACAACTGAGTGTAAAACTAATTAGTAGACCTAAAAGAGTTTATGGTGTTGGAAAAGAGAAAAACAGAAATAAATGATAACTAATACCAGTCAGACTGGCATTTTGAAATTTTTTTAATGCTCTAGAAAAAATACTGGGATTTTGTGAATTTTAGAATTTCCCCATGGTATTCTAATTTTATTTTATTGGTACATTTTAGGTATACAATATAATGACATTCATCACTGGAAATTTGCACCTTTACATAATCTCTCTTAGTTATTTTTCCCCCTTCCCCTGCCCTCCCTTCAACCCCTCCATCCCTCCCTATTTACAAAGACTTTGTTTCCATTTTTTCATTTTCT